TTTTTTTTTTTTTTTTTTTTTTTTTTTTTTTTTATGACATTAAGTAACGGGACGAACAAGTCGTGTGCCTGATGGTAAGCTACACGCCTGCCCATAACAGTTGCAGTGCCACCAAGAGCTTTAAATTACAAAGATCTTGGGGGCACTGCCACTGCGCCCGTCACCCTGAGACATAAGTTGACAAGTCTCATGTGCCTGTAATTTCACCAGCACCCTTACCCTTCACAACCGGAACACAGTAATGTGACCATTACTGCTTGGCGGCAGAAATAGGTAAGGTGGCAGTACTTCCCTGGACGAGCTCTTTCACAAGGAGCTCTACTGCTACTAAGATTTATAATTTTTTATAAATCTTAGTAAAAAGTAGTATCTGATCAATGATCTGTTTGTTTACTTTTCTGGAACATTGGATTGGAACAGACTATAGTTAGTAATATACAATGTCATATATTGACACGCATATTTGTCAAAGTTCAGAAAATAATTTTAGCTCATTGAATAATATTACAACATAAAAACTGACTCTTATATTCCATATTAAAGACGAATTAATTGATATTCACGGTTATTTATATGATATAAACTACTTCCAGGCTACTGATCAGCGCCATCTGGATGTAAGACGGAATTTCGACCTTATTCACTACTGTACTATGGAGATTAGCAATCCTCTTCAGTTACTGGCCCACGGTGTGGTGCTACCTACTGATTAAGACACGCTATTATTCATAAAGCATGAGTTTTTTACACACACACGATATATGACAATAATAAGATAAGATTGGATTGGCTTATAATGTTTGTTTCATTTAAATCGGTTGATATATAAAAAAGATACGTCAATCCGGCCGGATTCGAACCGACGTCTTCTAGCGAACCGGAACGAACCAGCAAACCTTACGAATTTTTCTACGTGATTGTAGTCGGATCTTTATATTTGGTTTTCAACGACTTTTAGCCTAACTTTATAACAAACTAGTAAAGTAATTTCACAAAAAATAATTTAATACCAATTCAATACAAATTTCATTACAGTTAATAGCGACATCTCAAGCCAGGGCTGGTACAGGGCTCGAGGTGACACGTGCGCAAGAAATCGCTAACCAAGCGATTGGATTGGACATACTTTAAAACAGTGTGCTGCAAAAATATTAGTCATCAGGCAGGTCTAAAAATAATCAGAAACACGATATACCTAGCCTTTATTTTAAACCACAATAACAATTTTGGATTTTAGTGATAAAAATAAATTGAAAATATTATAATCTCTAACCGCTCACGTGATGCGCTCCTTCTACCGCAAAATGGCGGCTATTTGGTTTCCAAAATCAGAAAAGGATTCAGTTTAAATACAAGTTTTTATAAATCAAAATTATCATTTTGCATTGCTAAATAAATACCCTCCGTACTACCAACAAAAACATCTCAAATAAAGTGCAGTAATACACCGCAGATCCTGCACTTAAAAAGCACTAATGAAATTTTTGGTGTACTTGGATAAATATGATACTATTCCGTTTGAGTGGTTCTAACGTTTACCATGAAATTACTCCTTAAAGTATAGTTTATAAACATTTATATTCAGGGTAAACTTAAAAAACGCTACTTACGATATGTTTTCAATAAATAAACACCGAAATCACCAGCCCAAAGAATAACACACACGATGGTCGTGACGTATTTTTGAAGTTGTTTATTTTTTTTTAATGACAGACCCAGGCATTAAAAACTTTATGGTTTGCTAGCGTAGTTACCGAAATAGCAATTAATATTACTTCTTTTACCTGTTATAACTTCGATATCCGTTAAATCGGTATAAAATCATCACCGGCACCTCTAGGTGCGGTATGCGTCTATGGCTGCATGTATCGCGTGAGCGGCTAAGTAATAAAACTTTTTTTTCTTATCTATCTCTGTATCTGTCGATGTTACCTATCTATCTATAAATCGTATATTTGTTTTTTAAAACAGGTCCCATGGTCATGGCTAACTGAGATGCTAAATGAAATCGTGGTCATAGTTATAATAGTTATAAATAAATTTGGAATAATTTCACATATTTCGTGTCGTGCACTAATACCATCCTGTATGTAACAACACTATCTAAACTTTTGTAATTCGATATTGGAGCGCTAGATGTCGTTCTGGTACCGTGACCGCAGTGGATCCGGAGGAATGATGGTTTTGCGTGTTAAAATTAGTGTTTTCACGGTCGCATGAGTTCAAGTTCAAGTGGCATTAGCGGTATTAGGTGGCGTGTGCGGCGGCACTCTTGTAATGATTACGGTAATCAATTGCGATCTGGGCTCACAACAAATTGGTCATTTCTCACAATAACATCAATGCTAATAGAACTTGAACTCAAAAACCATCATTACTTCATCCGGGCGCATCACGCAGCGCCCTTGGCCCGAAAGATCCACTTACATTTTTGTTTCCAATTAGTTCCTTTGACGATCCTCCTTCTAGTGATTGTCAACATTGTTTTAAGTCACTCCAGTAGGTACTAAACATTGTACTTATTTTGATTTGACATATACCTCTCTTGATTTCCTTCTGGCCAACGGATGATTCTTCAACCGTGGCGAAGCCGGCGTCCATGTCTTGACTTGATTTCTCGTCATGGGTCAATTTTCCTGTAAATTGAAACGAAAATATATGTAAATAGTTATAATCTTGGAAAATGGACCTAACGTTATTTACCATGTTTAGTTAAAATTGAACTTTCGATTTTTTTTTAATAAAGTTGAGAATTAGCTTATTATTTTTTTACGGTCATCGAAGTACCGATAAAGAATCAAGGCCGACACTTGAAAAAGGAAGACCTTATCAACAACGTAAGATAAGCATATCAATTAGGTACCTACCAATGTTTGGTATCTTTACATTATATGTATATACAACTTTGATTAGCATTAATAGTACATTGTGTATTAAGGGCGAAAAATATGGAATTACGAACGAGACTCTAGGAGAAGCCTGAAGTCGAAGACTGACAACTTTCGGAGTCGAGATTCGTGAACACACAATGTTTTTCATTACACTTGCATGTACACACATCAAAAAAAGTTTGCGATCAATAGCATAAGCTCCTATAATTCTTTAAATTTAACTTTATCAAGAAAAAATCTATGTTGTATGCTTTCTTTAAATAGGAATACCCTGTTTGAAATTAAAATATAAAACTATTTTTTATTATTTATTTTAAAAAATTGAGCCATTAATCATAATGTAATAGTGATAGAAATTTCATAGAAAGAAAAAGACTGTTTATTTAAACTTAAACAACAATTTATTATTAAAAGGTGTGAATTCAATATAAAATAACTCCTCCCCTGGCTCGAATACATGCGAAGATCCTCCTGGGCATGCTGAGGATTGGGGAGGAGGATTATCCAGCATTTCCTGGGGTAACCTATCCCATTCTTCAATAGCGGCTTCCCTGAGCTCTGGAACTGTCTGGGGACGTGGCTCACGGTTCCATACTGCTCGTTTAAGAGCATCCCACGCGTGCTCTATTGGGTTTAAGTCGGGCGAGCCGGCAGGCCAGTCTAATCGTGTGATATCGTATTCTTGAAGAGCAGCATTGACTCGTTGAGCTCGATGTGCGGGCGCATTATCATCGACCAGTACAAATTGGTGCCCATGGTTTACTCGGAATGGTCTGACGATATCATCAATAGCAACTGCTTTGTACATGTCTGCTGTCATGAAGCCCCGATACGGGATCAAAGGCGTTCTAGCTCCAATCATAATGCCACCCCAAAAGGACACCGATTTTCCGCCTTGCTGAACTGTTCCAGTGGCAGTTCTTTGTCTTTCACGGTCGCCTGGTCTTCTCCAGACACGGACACGTCGGTTATCTGGATGAGTGCTGATTCGGGATTCGTCAACGAAGAGACAGTTTTGCCAAATGTTTTCGTCCTCACCTTCTTCATTTTGCCGAAGTCTAGCCCACTGCAATCTTCGTTGTTGACGTTGCCGGGAATTGAGCGGAGCTCGCCAAGACCTCCGTGCTCGTAATCCAGCCTGGTGCAAGCAATTGCGAACGGTCTGCGTGCTAACTTCAAGCCCAGAGGCGGCCCTGACTTCTGCTTTTATTTTAGTGGCGTTGATTGTTGGATCACGGGCTGCCAGCAATCTAATATAGCGCTTTTGGGCAGCTGTCAAAACAGTTGGGCGACCGCTGCGGGGTCGGTCAACTAAATTCCCCATTCCGTGATACCTCTGCAACGTAGCCACGACACAGGATTGGGATATCCTTCTTCCCTCAAAGTTACTATTCTAGCTCGTAAAACCTCTGATAATCCTCTTGGCATTTTTTCAATCACAACTTTCAGCGAAAAATATCTTGAATCGCTTATAATTGACTAAATCAGATGTCTGAATGAGCGTAAGCTAGGACTGAAAGCCTTTTTATATGAAAAAACAATTTTTTTTTTTTTAATTTATTTAATACTTTTACAAAAACTTAAACACATTACAAGCAGCTGTAGCTCAAAAACCACTAAGGGTTTATCTGTCCACAGCGATTCTCTCTAGCCAGTAAGTACTTCCTTAATTTATTTTTACATTTTCCTTCCACATATAGGTCTTGAATATACCCAATTGAACGGGGTCATTGTTTTATGTTCTAATTTATTTTTAAATAAAGAATCTAAAAAGAAGAAAAAATCATAATATAATCTACAGTAACAAAAAAGATTTCAGTTTTTCGAAGTGATCGCAAACTTTTTTTGATGTGTGTATATAGTATGATTGCTTGCAAACTAACTTGACTATAATGCCCCAAATAAAATCCTCGGCTCTTTTTTCTTCTCATTACAACCACGGTCGGTAATCTACTTGAGCCGGTCGGAAACTCATATACATATATATTATGTCCATGCAATAACAGCGATAAAGACGTTATGCTTTTCGCTTCCACTTGGATCACTGACGTACTTGTCGCTTTTTCGCTTTTACTACACGAACATATCTAAAACTTTTTCTGACCGGCTTAATATGATACTATCGATAAGTTTATCGACAATGTCGATAAGTTTGGTGACTCCCTTACAAGTTTCTTACCGCAGTAGGACTTCTTTTTATTTTCCCAATATTTCGCGTAACGTAATGAAAGATTGTAATTAGTGGCAATCATCGAATAAAAATTCGTTTTCTACATTGGTTTTACTATGGGACAACTCCATAGCCCTAAACTTTGCCGTGTTGTTGGGGTTGTCACGTTTCTGTAACGCCTCCGGCACGTTAACTGAACCTGGATATTATTGCAGATAGATGGGACGCAAGGGTCCCCTGCCGGAGTGGTCCCACGGAGGGTGCGCCTGCAAGTGCCCGTAACAGGTCATTTGTGTGTCCAATTCTTCTTTTTGTGTATTAAAATAATAATAACACTGTTATTTAAGCAGCGTAATTCTAAAGTCGTCAATTTTAAATCGTCAAAATAAACCCACGAAATTTAATAATTCGCTAACAGCTTCTTCGGTGGTGTGGGAAAAGTCGAGTAGAATATTTTTTATAAATGAAATGGTTAATATTGTTTAATGTTTTTGGTGGAATATACTTTAAATGTTTATAAATAATAATAATGTCAATTAATTACCACTTGATTTCAGTAGTAAACCAAACTACAAAATAAAAACCAAATTTTTTTTCAAACGCTGACGCGCGGAACGACAGTTTCGTGCATACTATGGAACTTTTCGAATGAAATTGTTCTAGTCGCCCGCAAAAAAAAGCACGTAGCGCTCACGCAAATTCGCTCGTAGCGAATTTCGCTGCAACTTGCAGCGCTACTTTGTGGCCTTTGTAAATAAAATCATATGTTTGTAATTGACGCTCGACGCTGACGCTTGTAGCAGTAAGCGAATACGCGAGGAGCGTCATGCATCGTGGCCCTCAGGTAAGGGAACTTTCAAATTAGACGCCTGTAGAAGTGCTGGGGCGCCACAGTGGCGCTGAGACATGCCACTACAAATTTAACCAGAGATGTGCCACTGCAGCGCTTCTGCAAGGATCTAATTTGAAGGCGCCCTAAGTACCTGAAATAAATTATTATTACTACTAAACCTGTAAAACGGAGAAACAATTACCTTTCTTAGCTTCCATTAGCAAATGTATCATGTCAGGTCGGATTATCTGTTTGAGCTCCCTGTTCTGCATCGTATCCATTACCAGCGTCCTGAAGAATCTCTGCACATATTCCGGGAACAGATTCCATTTCAATATCTAAAAAAATAATAAATGTATTTAATACATACACAAAATCACCATGGTCTATGTTAAACAACACAGAAAGCAGTTATACGAACCATGTATAATGGTTTCCATCACTAGAAAACATTTACTGGGATATTTGGGTGGATTCGGCACAAAAAAAAGCAAGGACTTCGATTATGTCGCTGCGATAATTGCCAATTTGCAATTTATGATAATTTATTTACAATATGAAGACCCATTTAAATCAAAAGAAAAACATAGTGTACTCCAAAGTAAATGTTGGCCCAAAGCTGAACATCAACGTAAAACCTCAACGATCCCATAACAAATGCGATGTCATATCATGGAAAAAGATCAGAATATGCAAGTACGTGGCGATTCTTCACATGGCTACTTGTATTCGCTATTGGGTTTTTGATGTAGTTGGATAAATATTTGACGTACAGACAAATGTGCAAAAACTAACAAATATAACAGTCTACATATGGAGCCAAATAAGGAGTTAAAATATTGTATATGACCACAGCATGGACGGTTTACTTGCGTATTTGGCTCCTTTGATGTGCGTTGAGAAACCGATCAGCGTGCGGTAACGCAAATTTTGCGTTTGCTGTATTTGTCGAATATGCAGACATGGCAAATGCTTTGTCACACATACTATCTTCACATGGTGATTGTTTGTCAAATATATCAAATACGCAAATATAAATAGCCACGTGAAATGCCACCGTTGCAGTACAACGTGAAGTTGTGGACCTTCCCATAAATTCTGTTTCAACTATGTTTTAATCGCCTCAAACACGACTCTTAACACCAAATAGTGTTACGTAGTCACTGTTCCGTATACTTAGGCGAGGTCACTTTTGCGAAAAATTATTTTGATACACTAAAACTGATGAAATGATTTTTGAGAAGTATTTACACTATTATATATAGAAATTTACCAAATAGGAAACAATTATATACCACGGAATCTTTATTCTGAGACAGTCATGAATTTCTTGAGATAATGAATAGATTTGTTTTTGATACAAAGTTAAATTACACTCAAAGTCACTATAGTCTCAAACTAAAAAAATATCGATAATGAGATGAAACGTATATTAATAATTTTTTTTTTTAATTACATTTACGACGCAATCAGAAATGTCATTGAAAACCATCCATGATTTTACTTTAACGATACTTACGTCAGCAACCTTCGGAACAATCATCAATACGAAGAACATGAGTAGTTGACGAAAAGAAAAGTTCGAAGCAGTTTTTCCCATCGTATAAAACTGATTGTTCTCGTCCATGTGAGAATCTACCTTCAGACCAAAGGCACAAGATGCAATTACGTCATTCGCGTATCTAGTCGTTAGGTCTTTCGCGTCAAGATCCATATAATCCTCTGTAAATCAAAGGAACTGTAATAACATAGACGTTATAAGGTTCAATAATATTTTGAGATATGCAATTTGAAAAAATCCATGAGATGGCTACTTTTACCAGTAACAAAGGTTTATTTTCATATTGTTTTAGCAATAGCAGCTTGGAATGAAAGACCAAAGAAAACTTGTTTACTGTCAGTAATTTACTAATTACGTTGTCATATTTGCATAAAATAGTAAAACAAGCAACGAAAATTTCGAGCATCAAAGAAAGGAATTATTCCTCACGATTGACATACTTTCTGACTCTTTGATTTTCTTCTTAAGCGAGACAATCATCCTATCTCCAACCTCCACCATCAGTGGCAACATCATCTTCATTTTGGAGCTGGTGAAAGCAGGGCTGAGGGTCGATCGCATGTCCTTCCATTCGTGACCTGATATACAAAAGTTTTAAAATTGAAGATGGTATTTTTATGGATTACTGTCAGAGTCCTGACTACTATGATAGAAATAGTAGCGTTAATACTTTAATGCGCGTTTGCCAACTCGCCTATCAAACGTAAATAACTAAATAACCCCTTAACAAATAAGGACCCAGGTTGTCCTGTTACACACAACCCACCAAACATGAAATGATATACAGAGTTCTCCTAACCTAGAGCCATAGGATATAGTAAGTACCTTTCAAAGAGACGAGGTTTCTTCCAAAAAGTGGGTCATTCTTCTCGTTGATGACGGTGTTATGGTCGAGGAAAGACTCGAAGTCCTTAATAGTAATCTTCTTGATTAACTCGATATCCCTCACCATCAGAGTCGGTGTTGCGAATGTGAACAAGCCGTAGAACCTAATAAATAATTCATAATCTAGTTTGGTGAAAACTATTAAACAATGACCTTGTTTATTTCAATCCCTTTTTTTCAGTAAAGAGTTACAAGCTGAGTAAACATTTAATTCTTTATAAAAAGTTTGTTGTGGGCCAGTTTTTCATTATATAATCTCAATCTTAAGATTGAGACATATTTTCACTGACAATCGTGATTTGGGAAATTGGTTTCAGATATTTCTACGTCAAAATCATAAAGTTCAGAGTCATGTAGAATCGAGGTGGTCGTTTACATTTTGGTTACATCCCATAAATTCATATATTTATTATCGCTTAATTCATATGTATTGATCGAATAAATCAGATTGCAAATTATGTTAATAGGAAATTAAACTATGTTTTCGGATCTAAATTACGTATATTTGTTTTTTCTAACAAACCAACGTTTCTAATCCTTTACGGGTCCCATGGTCACGGTTATCTGCGATGGTAAAGTCATTGGTAAAGACATAACTGGTTGACGACTTCATTATCTCAATCAGTCGTGACCATGACACCCGTAAAGGTCCGAGACGTTACTTTGCTCCAAAAATCAAATAGAATAATTTTTAGTGTGTAACAATCGCGAAAACCTAAGAACTAGAATAGATGTTGGTAGCATAATAAGTCAGCGCTACACAATTAGGATCCGATAAAAATTGCAGATGACCGGACAATTCAAACTTAAATCATTCGTGTCTGCTCTGCTAGCGATGACGTATGTGAAGGCCGATCATTGTCCTCAGCGGGATGACCAACTACAAACACACTCAATGATTCATTGCTTAGTTAGTTATATTTACTTTAAAACATTGTATCCACTTGGAAGTGAAATGTTCTTTACTTCTTGATTATTTAAACAATTAATTGACGAGCACGCAGATATGAAATAAGCAAATACTTTTATTAATAGCTTTATTACCTTGGCTAATGCGTAACAGCGAGTATCAAACAACGTAAATTCTCAAAAGCTATGCTAGTCGTCAAATTAAAGGAAGTATTCAATAAAAAAATTACTGTTTTGACGTCATAGACAGTAAATGCGTCCGGTACATTATGTATCGAGTTCTTAGGTTTTTGATATTGTTATACATTGGAAATAAAAGTATTATTGGATTTAAATCGCGTATGTTTATAAATACATTTGGTTGATGACGTCTATCTCAGTCAGGCGTGCCCAAGGAATCTGTAAAGGTCCCGAAATGTCGGTTTGTTTGAAAAAACACATGATTTAGATCCGAAGTATCATTTCACATATGATATAATTTATTTATATTACCATAGGATATCTTATAATATAACATACAACATACGGTTACAGTATACGATAAACACCGTCTCTTAGTATATTAATTAGGCACATACCTTTGGTCAGAAAATTGGTTGTAAACCTTGACCATTTGTTCACTAAAATGCTCCCGCTGCAATACAATGCTCAGCATAGTACCGAAGGGTGGGATAATCCGGGGTGTCTTCACACCTCGCCTTTTGAAAAAGCCATACTTTTGCTGGAAGAACAGACATACTGCAGCCACGATGCAAACCAGCCATATCCACACCAGCATCTGTAACAATACTCTAGATTATGGTACGTGGTAGTAAAATATCGTGACATGGAATAAACTTAAAAATTACAATTTTTTAAAGCGATGGTAGCTAGGTACCTCTCTGAGTGAAGAAATAAATTTGTTACAGATGGGGCTACGGCAAAAAAGCAGTTAAAAACTAAAAACAAAGATTTGCAACAAACAGAAAAATTCTTAAGATGTCTTCGTTTGTTCATAGCAGAGCATCTGGCACGGATTGCCGGAGGGTGCTGGTTCAAATCCAGCCAGATCACATGAGTTTTTGTTAGTGTTTCGGTCTTTGTTATAATAATTACTCTAGATTACTTTTAGCGGATAAATTAATGCGAATTAACAAAAGAAATACATAAAGCTATGTGCATGGAGGGGAAGGAAACGGTTGCGCATATCCTACTACAGTGCTCCGGCGTAGCCAACAACAGGGCTAAGTATCTTGGAGTGCCGAGGTCGCTCCCCGAAGTCTTCAGGAAGGAGGCTGTTGAAATTCCTGGAGCTTGGGTGGCACGAGTAGAACCCTGCACCCACCACACGCAAAATAGGCGCCTTGACGAGTTGCGGACACCAGCCCGTTACACCAAGTACCAATTACATAGAGCTAACGTAAAAGATATCACCTGAAGAGGATGGCCACGAAGAACAGTCTCAAATCATAAAAAAGCCTGGAGTGCGTAATGAGAAAGACGCAATGAGAAAGATAAGAGAGCCTGTATGAAAAGATGAATGTAAGTGAAGCAAGAGAGGTACACTTGTCAAGACATGGTAAATGGCTATAGTCTCTGCCTACCCCAAGGGCGTGAATATAACAATACGTATTATTTTTAGTTTAGTAGCAGTAGAGCTCCTTATGAAAGAGTTCAGTACTGCCACCTTACCTAATTCTGCCGCCAAACAATAATGTGAGCATTTCTGCGTTCTGGTGTTAAAGGTAACGGTGCTAGTGATACTATACATCTCAGTAACGATGAAGGAAAACATGACGATGAAACCCGAATGAACATGTTTCCAACTCGCATTGGACCAGAATGGTTAGAAAAGACCCGTGGCCGACAATGGGACCTGTAATGGGTTGATGATCATTTAGGGTCTTAACTGAAAATAAGTGCTGGGAACGCGTTGCGTTTTCCAGCAAATACTGAGTTTGTGACCCTTTTGTTACCGCGGCTGGCACCACACAAGGTATCTCAATATTTAGTCTTCTTTTTATTATTTGTGTGAATAGTTCATGTTTTAATTTTATCTAATTTTTGTATATACATTTTTATTTTGTGTTTGTTTGTGTTTTTGTTTCGTAATTATATATTTGTTTTACGTTGAATGTTTTGATCGTGTTTTGTTTTAGTTCTGTTTTGTTCCGATTTCTCTTTTTTTGTCTTTTGTCTTTTGTGGTGTCATTGTGGTAAACAAATAAATGTATTTTCTTTCTTTCTTTCTTTCTTTCATGATAATGATGGTTGATTAAAGAAACAGGGGAACAGTAAACGATACGGTATAGATTTGAAAAATGTCGTGGTTATTCAGTGAAATTATTACAAGTAGTTACAGGTTTCTTTCTAAGGTATAAATTCTTATTATTTTACCGAATAAATAAAAAAAAGTCATGCCCTGGTAAGAAAACCCTTAATTCTGCGCTTGTGACAAACTGAAAATCGAGAAAATAATGTTTAAAGAAATGAGAAAATTAAGAGTTGATGCTACCGCAGCTCGAATTTAAATTTTCCCCCTTCGATTGCGATTGAAATATTCGATTTACTAATCGATTACAAGAACTTTAATTGAATGAACCGAATGTTTTTTGTCGTACAGCACTATGCAACCATAGACAAATCATATGTGTATAGATAAAAAATAACCTCACTTTTGGACTACCATCTACCAAATATGATTTTACGATGCTATTGAAATGAATATTTCTGGAAAAAGTGATGATATATCAAGTCGAAATCTTCGAAATAATATACGTAAATAATATATTTTAATAAACTAATGTAACAAACCTACTTTATGAATTTTGTTCACCTTTTGTTCACCAAGAATCCGCTAGATGGCATTGACCTATTTGGCGTTATTTCTGAATCGCGGTGTTAAGATTTTCCCTCGAATGGTGACTACTCAAACACAATTTTGTTCATGTGGAAATCATAGAATACCGAGAGCTCAGTAAGGTAACCAGGAGTTGAGTCCCAAAAGCCTCATCTCGCGGAACGGTTTCCAGGAGTCGAGTCCCTTCTCGGGTACAACTGCCCGGACCTTCCGCATATAGGGTAAAAATTGTATTGGCGTCATACAAGGTGAAAAATAAAATCAAAAATCTTTCTTCAATAACTTTGAGTTTTCACTTGACTGGAGCTGCGTAACCTCATCCCACGGTAAAGAGACTCCCTCCTTTAAACTAACAGTTTTGTTTACTTTTTGTTCAAAATGGATTAGAACAGACTTTATTTCAGTTGATATAAAAAAAATTGTTATATTATCTAAAGTACCTACTGAATACAGCAGTTTTCTTGTAAAATTTCGCGGTAAGTTTATGTTTTTTTTCTATCGTGAAAATTATTAGGAATCGTGTTTTCACACCGTATACTAAACAGTGTATATCAGCAATTTTACTATATATTTTTTCTAAAGTAATTGATTTAACACTTTCACTGTTATGCAGAATCAACCAAAGCCATTTGAGGTTGTATCGATATTATTTTATTTTAATATCTAATTTTCTCTTGCGGTAACTTAATACCTTATTTATCTAGAAAAAAATAAAATTGGTAACAAATCGGCCTATTTTTTACTGAACACGGCAGTATATATAATACAATAACATTTTTAAATGTCATAAGCGCCCTTTCAACTAGCAGCGGACAGAACTATTGTCATCACTTCAACAGGGTCAAGAGCACGTCAAGCTTGACACTTAAGACTTAAATCCAACTCTATGCCACTTACGATAAGAACGGTCCAAAGTATAAAGTGTCAAACTTGACGTGCTCTTGACTGTACGTAATGAAATCGATTTCAATAGAATTTAATCATTGAAACTGCAAATACAAAATTAATACAAAAGTATAATTTTATTTTAATTATTTATATAGACATTTATATCGTTACGTATAACATGTTGATAATAATTCGGATTTCCTATCTATAAAAAGTGTATGACGCAATGTTTGTTTAATACATGAAACCTATTATCTCATATCGGCGTAGGTAGGCGACGTTCCGAAAAAAAAAATGGGAGCGCGTTTTAGGTTTTAACGACTGTTTTAAATATTTACGTCCTGTTTTTAAAATTCACTTTCTATTTTTAAACATAATTTGTTTTTTTTTTTTGCTTACGTCTTAAATTTAATATAATATTTCAAAAAACAAAAACTTACCTTAGTGTTTTGAAAATACGTATACAAAATAACACCACAGCTATTATAAAACAAAATCGTTTTTTGTTATGAAGTGACGCGTCGTATAACGTTCAGCCGGCCGGCGCGAGCAGGCCGTACTGTTTGATTTGGTGTTTGGAACGGAACGTGGAACAGTGTTGCCAGATGGCAATGTGAACTTCTCCTCAATAATGTTTAATTCTCCCGAAAAACGGGTCTGTGGAAGGAAACGCAGTTATTAAGCCAGATTTAGCCATTCTAATAATGCTCACGTTACTGCTTGGCAGCAGAAATAGGTATGGATGTAAATATATCTTTTGAATGAACATTAAGCCAATTATATTTTTGTATAATATTATATAAGGTTCGTAGCCATTAACATAGTAGGGAACAAACTTACATAATATTGCTTAATTTGACAGTGACTGATTATGTAATATTTTAATCATTTTCTGTTATTTTTGTAAACAGCCATATTCATTTAATAATATTATGCTCCACAAAATTTGTGGAAAAAAAATTGAAAAAACAACAATAAAACGAAATTTGTGAAAAACAAAAGAAACATGAAACAAAATAAAAACAGAACAGGTCAAAAAATTTATTATATAAGTAATATAAATTCATTAGGGAGCGTACTTCTTCTTGAAGGTATCGTTTTAGGTACTTACAATTTTTTCTTTTATATTTTTGAATATGAAATATTGTTAGCAAGTTTTTATACAAACATGAACAGACTTGCAAAGTTAAAGATGCTATAGTAAGCAATTATCACACTTTATATTAGGGACCGACATGGGACCGACGCGTAATCCGTTAAGTCGATAAACGTTATATCCATGTAACAAGAGCGAAAAAATTATGTAGTGCATTCCTACCTGTGCCAAAACATGCAACGTCTATTTCACTCTAATTGTATGAACGTAAACACAACGTAAAGCTTGTCCTGTTCTGTTTTCTCGGAACTGATAAAACTTATTTGAATATGCGTATTATTTATAGAAATTTGAGTACATTGTCGACAAATTATTATTTTAGGTAAGTATTTGCTACGAATTACTGTCTCAAAAAATAACATTGTAGGTGTATTACAGGTGTATTAGGTGGTATATAAGTTTTAAACAATTTCGCTATTTAAAAAATAAACGCGAGAAACCGATATTTTACAATGTTTAGAAAATAAACAGTAAAAGAAAAAGAAATTGTATACGCATTGATGACGAAATGGGGATGTTCATATTAAGAAAACGTTCTTACTATAAGTAAATTAACTTCCTCAATTCCGATCACTATTGATGACTCTCTTATGATAATAGTGTAGCAACAGCAGAGCTCCTTGTGAAGGAGATCATCCAGAGACGTACTGCCACCTGAAGGCACAACAGCTTACAATTTACAGGCACACGGGGCTTGCCAACTTAGGGTTCAGGGTGACGGGCATTGTAGTGGTGCCCCTCAGATCTCTGCTATTTAAAACTCTGAGTGGCACTGCAATTACCACGGTTGGGCGTGTCGCATACCACCAGGAGCACGGTGCATAAAAATATATAATTTCAAATATCATAGACAGAAACATCTTGAAAAAGCTAGAAGGACTACCACCATACATCTTTTTTTTAGTAGCATTAGAGTCCCTTGTGAAAGAGTTCGTCCAAGGAAGTACTGCCATCTTACCTATTTCTGCCGCCAATCAGTAATGTCAGCATTACTGTGTTCTGGTTTTAAAGGGAAAGGGTGCTTGTGAAATTACTGGCGCATGGGATTTATCAATTTATGTCTCAACGTGACGGACGAATTTGTGACTTTGTGAAGACGACTGTCAAGAACAGCCAGTTTATTTATTTATTGGTTCTAACCCGATTTAAACCCGGCGTTAACAAGGCGCCGGGTAAAAACCAGGGTGCGTGCCCATCTCTGTTTTCGCGTTACCTTATAAAAATCACGTCACGCGTCTTCCGCGGAATTCTCGCACATGCTCGAGAATGCTGGCGCATTCGCAGTGCAGTGTGACGTCAAACGTCGACGAAATACTACTGCCTCAAGGCGCAGGCGCAGAAATTGACGCTTCCATTCCATTCCGTACCGCAGCAATGTAAATTTGAGCCTTATCGATGTTATCATCATAGGTTTACAAGTATTGACAAGTTTCGATTTTTAATGACATAATACGACTTTTGAAGTTTAACTCCGATTGCGCAATTTGCACCGAAATCACGCAACCGGACATCAAATCTTTTCGTACACAATTTCGCACTGCACACTTTCAGAGACCATGACCAAATAGTATTAGGAGAAAGGTGCATGTCAAAGGTAGAACTCCTCGTAGATAATGTGACCTAGACCCTAAAATTCTTAGACCCTAATAATTAGTAGCTGTAGAGCTCCTTGTGAATGAGAACATCCAGGGAAGTAGTGCCACATTACCTATTTCTGCCACCAAGCAGTAATATGAACTTGTCGTTTTATATCTCCGGGTGACGAGTGCAGTGGCAGTGCCCTAAAATCTTTGCGATTTAAAGCTCTGAGTGGCACTTCAAGTGCAATGGACAGCTGTGTAGCTTACCACCCAGGCGCACGACTAGTTCGTTCCGTCACTTGATATTATAAAAAAATTGTCATCCGGGGAGGCAATATACCAATGGGATAGGAATTTTTCAGCAGGTAGGTTAAGGTCATATCAGTTTGACATGCTAGTATGACCACCAATAAACGGCCCAATAAATGTGGCTAATGTGTTTTTGGTACTAATCTAAGGAAGTATGCACAAATAAAATGCATAAAAATACAAGTGCTCATTGACTTAGTTTTGATATCGTGACGTGAAAATATAATATTATATCGATATAGGTACCTAATGAACATGTGTAATTATTAGAATTCTATTAAAAGAATTATAGATAACAGTTTCGCATTAGAATTTTCGCTATGTTGCCACTCTGACCACGTAACGTAAATAGTACGAGAAAGTGATGGGTAACCCTGCCACTTCACGCACACATTTGCGCGTGTGCATATAGCGCCTTGCTGTATGTAGTAGTAGTAGGTAAATAACTTTCGACCGTCGTATGGAGTGTCCGGGGTGTGACCCTGGGGTTCAGAAGCTCGGGACTTATAAAGTTGGGTCGCCGACTCAAAGACAAGGGCTGCGATCACCGTTCTGAGTCGTGGTTGGTTCAGCAAGTGTCCATTGCCATCCAGTGAGGCAATGCTGTCTGTATAATGGGAACTTTTGAGCCGGCCATGATACAGGGCGGAATTTTTTTCTTTTTGGTAAGGTTAGGTTTTTAGGTTAAAAATCTCTTGCAAGTTCTTTTTTTTGTAATTTAGTATATATTGAAAAAGCTCAGAGCTCATCTTTAGGTTGCAAATTTGACTATTTCAAACATTGACTTACAAATAAATGGACGACGGGTCTAATACAAAAACCACGAAAAAAATGTCCCAAGTCAACCTATTCGAAATTTAAATTCTTATGTCATCGCAGTATCGCGCTGTCCGTAGAACAAATGAAGACTAAAGCGGAGTGTCGCGCTCTGTATACGATTTTAGCGCCTTACAAGTGCGGACACTTTTTAGCGCGGACCCGACGTCCATATAATTGTAAGTCAATGATTTCAAATGAATAAGTGATCTGATTTTTAATCCATTATTAACTTCTTCCAAACTTTCATAGATTTGTCACAAATGGCGCTACAGAAAACTCTAATAAGTAGTGTACTACTTATTAGAGTTATAAGGTTTAGTTGTATAGGTGGGTTTAGGTGTATAGCTTTATGAAGATTGAATTAAGGTTCCTTTTTTTTGTTTATTTTAAAATTATCATATTTTTTTTTATATTTTAGCAGCAGCAGAGCTCCTTGTGAAAGAGTTCGTCCAGGGAAGTACTGCCTTACTTGTTTCTGCGGCCAAATGATATGAGGATTGCTGCCTTCCGAATTTGAAGGGTGCTGGTGAAAGAACAGGCACATGGGCCTTTTCAACTTGTCTCAAAATGATGTGCGCACTGGCAGTGTCCATATTTTTGCCATTTAAAGCACTGATTACACTGCAACTATTATGGACAAACATGTTGCTTACCATCAGACGCACAACTAGTTCGTCCCACCTCTTAATATCATAAAAAAAGTAGTTTACTAGTATTTACATTTTCAAATATGTTATATAAGTCATATTGAAATAAATTTATTTTATCTTATCTATATTAATTTATAGAGTTTATAATTTTATCTTTTCCGAATAAATACGCTCAGCCGAGCCTCGTTTACTCATTGTGAGTCTCAAAAAGAAACAGTTCAACCGACGCGCCCGTTGTGTCGCATGCTTTACAAGTCAACACGTCGTCGCCGTGACAAATTACTAATTTCTTTTATCGCAATTATTTTTCTTAATATCAGTGTCAATTTAAACTAGTAAGGTAAATATATTTTTATATGCATATTATGAAGCACATTACATTTAGAATAGAATAGAATAGAATAGAATAGAAACCATTTATTACATAACGCCATAACACAATAAGAAATAAGAAAAAAGTTAAAGATAAATTAAAACGAAAATAAAATAGAATAACAAAAAAATAAAAAATTAAATTAAATCTTAGTAATATGTAATGAAATGACCACAAAGGTAGTCAACACTATTGTGTACTAAGTAAATGTCATGTGTGCTCAGCTAATGTCACCGCCGAGAATAGGCTTTGCCGCTGATTTTCAATGGACCCTAAAACCGAGTGAGTGTGACCGGACGTGTATGTCGCGTATAAAGTATTATATTGCGTTTACATATATTTCTGTAATATAGTACGGTGTGTTCTCTTATATTTATAGAATACTTAAATAATTAATTTGATACATATATACAGTGATAAGCGCGTGCAATGTCGTGTCCATTATTTACAACAAACAAAATAGAACTCATTTAATTTAAAATGATACCGATTGCGAGATTTGTGTCACGTATATTAATTATAAAATATAAAAATTAAATAAGAACTAATTGTGTAATTAAAAATTAAAGAAAAGATAGTAATAATTAGTAACATTTCTCAGGAATAAAATAAACAACCGAAATTACTACGTAAAGACGCAATTCGTACTTGCCGCATCCCGCATGCAAAACAATGATGACGATGGCCGTCGCAAACCAATGCCATAAGTCGAATAACAGTGCGGTGAATGCCCAAGTTAAATTATACGGTGTTTTTTTTAATATCTAAAAGATATTGTTTGTATTTTTCACTTTTAAAGTGTGCACTGCTTGTAAACTACGGAGTGGCATTTAATGTGAGATTGAGTGAGAATTTCCGCGTGCATGTAAGATTCAATGTTATTTTTATTTAATGTATAACCCTGACATGATTGTTTGTAGCAAGATATTGTACATACCAACAATAATGCCTATCCTATTCACGTAAAAATATTTACTTAAATATTTGCATTAATTTACAAAATAAACAATTAAATGACTGATATTAAATAAATTTTGTCACGAATCAAAGAATACTTTATTTTTAACCGATTTCAAGAAAGAAAAAGGTTGTTTTTTGTTTTTGTTTTTTTTTTAGTAAGTTCCGCTATTACTTTGACATAATTGGTGACCGATTTCGACGATTACTTTTTTGTTCGAAAGGGTATACCTCAGTACTGGTCCCATTTCAATTTGAAGAGAATATCTCACCTCTAAGAACGACAAATTAGGGAATTAATACGGTTCATTTTATTTCCGTTAACCGAGCACAATAAAACTTGGCAAATAGATGTAATTCCACAAAAATTTCACGTTTTTTTTTTATAAAAATGTTATGATGTTAGACAGTTTTCCTATGTTCTTTTATTTATGTAGTAAAATGAGAACGTTTGTGATTTTATTTCATTTAGTATTTAGTAGCAGTAACGCTCCTTATGACAGAGTTCGTCCTGTGTTCCGGTTTTGAAGGGAGCTGGTGAAATTACAGGCACATGGGACTTGTCAACTTATGTCTCAGGGTGACGGGCGCAGTGCCCTTCAGATCTTTGCGACTGATATGGACAGGCGTGTAGCTTACAGCTTATATTTGAGCAAGTTTATTAAAGTCAAAACTAGATATCCTAGAAACACAAGAAATACGGCCCAAATAACGCCCTAATTTTAATTTTTTTCGGCGCTAATACGAACATCGTATTAATTATTTAATTTAATTAATTATTTTATTTAATATATTATATTAAAATTATTTAATAAAGTGCTGTTAAAGAATCAAACTGTAGATAATTTGAAATGAAGTTGCACAGTTTGTTACTTACTCATTTCTATTACAATATTGATCATTTTTAGTTGATAACATAAAATGTAATATTTTATTATCGTATGCATTGACTTACAAATAAATGGACGACGGGTCTAATACAAAAACCACGAAAATAATGTCCCAAGTTAACCTATTTAAACGTAGTGACATGTAAAAGAATATGAAAAGGCTAAAACGTTGAATTTAAATTGTAATGTCATCGTAGTACTGTCTAATTTTGCTTGCTTCGCTGTCAGTTGAACAAACGAAGACTAAAGCGTGAATGACGCTCTGTATACGATTTTAACGCCCTATAAGTTCGGACACTTTTTAGCGCGGACCCGACGTCCATATAATTATAAGTCAATGATCGTATGACATATTTTTGACTTCTAATTTTATTATGTTATTTGTTTACGCTATTATATTAATATAATTTTAATACATGCTACATCAAGAATGAAATAAGAATTGTGTACGATCTAATATAATATACTTGATATAGGACTTGCAATGTTAACTACATTTTTCAGCGAATATATATTATTCTTGTATTCTTACCATCAAGCACACGACTTGTTTGTCCCGTCACATAATATTATATTTAAAAAATTTAAAAAATTTCGAAGTAATCTAGAGTATTTTTCCAGATGCTGATCCTGGACCCACTATGGCTATTGCCGGGTTGCCTCGTGGTCGCAGTACTTCTGTACTTCCGACAAGTGTACAGATTGTTTAAAAGGCGAGGTGTAAAGACACCACGGGTCATCCCGCCTTTTGGCACCACGGTGAGCGTAATGGCACAGCGGGAGCATTTTGCTGAACAGATTACAAGAGTTTATAAACAATTCCCTGATCAGAGGTAAGTGAAGAATTCAGAATTCACTTTAACCTACTTCAAAACAGAAGGTTTTGTTATTTATGTTACGCGATAACTCTTTGTGAACCGATTTTGATGATTCTTTTTTCATTGGACTGAGGACCTCAGTATCAGATATTAAACCTCCAAGGGTGGCAAACGGGATGAACCCGGTTTCGCGCACTTTCGGTTAACCGATTTCATTAAAACTTGGCAAATAGATGTAATTCCATGAATGTCTTTTGTACTACTCTGTACGGAGATCATATTGTATACAAATTGATATACAAACAGACAGTCGTACTCAAAAGTGGTTGTAGTTGTTAGTTGCTAGTAAATCTTTAGTCTCCTGGACAAATTATTGCGCCTGTGAGAATTTTATTTTTTTTGTCGAATATAGGTTCCAAAACATATATAGAGGTCAGTGCTGCGGTATTTTTTCTGCCTGCAATGTGTGTCATTCTAGCACAGAGATGGGCACGTGGGTTAAAGTCATAAAACTCAATCAACCCGGGCGAGTTTTAACCAATTTCTACTCAAAATCGTGGACAGAAACAGCGAATACGCAATTTGGTATAATTCTATATTTACTACAAATTTCGAAGTAAATCATTTTTGGACGAAAAAGAGGCAACTTCTGACAATACCCTGTGCAATTCTGTGGATTCTCACTACTAATGATAAACGTTATGATTCGATTTTATGTGGAGCGATTCAAGTGCATACGATCAAACTATTTATGTATCGATGTATATATCAATGCGAGATCTAAAGCAATAAACATTTCATAATAATATCATTAAATTTGAAGAAAAATCGATTTACAGCAAATATTTAGTTGTATAAATTTCGGGCGTTAATGGATTCTAGCCCGATTTAATCCGGCATAAACAAAGCGCCGGTTACGATCCGGGTGCTTCCCCTTATCTGTTTTCACATTATCGCTTTTACCACCATAACTTTACAAGTTACGACAAGTTTCGATTATTTTTTTAATGACGTCATATGACTTTTCAAGATTAACTACTCTGATTGCACAAAATCATGTAAATGGAAAAACCGATAAGAAATATCTTACAGAGGTCACAGATTACTTAACACAAGGTATTAAATTTAATTATCGACAATATCTAAACATTGACAAAATCTGACTGCATCATTTGAATAAATAATGTATTTGAATTTGGAATGCTTACTTTTTTATATAATTTTAAATTTTATTATTCTTTATTAACCTATTACGTCCCATTGCTGGGCAAAGGTCTCCCCCAAAATCCTCCATTGCTCCCTGTTTTTGGCGATCTCCCACTCAAACACATCAACATCGTCCCGCCAACGCCTTCTCAGCCATCTTCGGGTACCCAAGCACTGACGACGTTCACCCACTTCTCAGGTTGCATCCAGCTAACGTGACCAGCCCAATCTTGATCTTGATCTTGGCTGTTATGCTCCCCACATCATCAATGCCAGTCATCGAACTCAGTATTGCGTACTCGGTCAATACGTTTAAAGCCCAGAATGCTGCGTTCCATCGTCCAAAATTTTACATATGAAGAATAAATACTTATGTCTTTTTGTTTTCGTGTTAATGGTATACACTGTAATGCTTGCCAACGTGGTAAAAGGATTTCCCAATTGGCATAATGTACTCGTCTATTGTTGCCCAGGGTATGCCAGTTGCACAAGAAAGGAAAGTTACATCGTGGCTGGAGGCTCCACCCCCAATATACACACGTATTTAATCATTAAAGATATTATGTAGTTTCTCACAGAGCTACCCATTTTTTCCAGAAAATCACTCCAATTAACTGGTCTCGACTAGGGAATTCGCTGTACTATGAGTAGGTACCAGAGAATAGAATTCGCTCTAGGACCCCGATTCAGAACTCTTCGATATTTTAACCGAATCGTTCGATTGGATATCGTTCTCGAATCGAGGGGGCCTTCCGAGCTATTCAGAACATTCCGAGTTAAACGTTCGATTCTGGGGGTCTACTCTCGATGTCCGTCCAACATCCGTCCGAAACAATTACTATCAAATAAGTAATATTCGACAAAATTAAAAGACAAGTATCAAGTATGAAGCTTCATTCGCATCACGCGTCTTTTCATTTGGTCAAGTATACCTGGTTTGGCAGCAATGTTTCGGACGGCTGTCGGACGGAGATGGAGAGTAGACCCCCTGATTTGGATACGATATCGTTATCCAACAGAAAAATTTTAATTCTTTTACATACATTTTAAGACTTTAAAGGTCTAAAATATAGGAATGCATTAGTATAAATTAATTAAATTGGACAAAATCCAGACTTTATTTAAAATAATAAGATATTTCCATATTACATTCTTGCTTTGTAAACAATAGGACGTTCGGTAACTTTCATTCGATAACTGTGTTCTGAATAACGTTTGTAGCCTTTGCCGGTCGAGAAGTACGAGTAATCGTACGGGTGTGACGTCATTTCGGTTCGGTTTCGAATACGATAATTTGACATTCGATTCAGGTATTGTGAATAAAAATGAAAAGACATCGACAACTGAGTTATCGTAAGGTTCTAAATCGACTCCCATGTCACTATCCAGCCAGACCACTCACAGAGAAACCAATTTAGAAAAGGTCATTTCTTAAATAGTTCGTACCGGGGATTAAACTCGAGACCTCATCCAGCTTCATGAACCCAAACCGTCCGCCACTGAAGACATCAAATTATTCCCAATCATTTATTCTAAATTTCAAGCCTTTACAGTGAAATTTGTCTGCTTTTACCAAAGTTACTAGACGCTCTTGACATATTTTGTAATAAATAAAATAATGTGACTTCTTTATTCAATTATTCTGTTAGATTCTACGGAGCGTTCCAGTTCACGAAGCCACTTCTGCAGGTGAGGGACATCGAGCTGATCAAGAAGATCGGCATCGAGGACTTCGAACACTTTATCGACCACAACAGTTTCGTCCCAGAAGAGTACGACCCGCTTTTCGGGAGGAACCTATTCTCTTTAAAGGGTAGCTAGAGTATTTAAGTTCTGTTGGTAATAAAGGTTATGCTATCTTCGCTGATAAAAATATCTATCTTCTCCTGAAATAGGTAAATCTCCGCGTTCCGCTAAAGTTTGAAAGTTTGCGATCGCAGTAAAAGGTTTTAATTTTATTTCATTTCTTTATGTGCACTTGAAATATCGTACTATAACCATATAAAGTACAGTATTTGAATGTAATCCTAAAATAGTAAAATCTACTGCTGCAATGTATGCAAATACAGTACCTTCAACTTTAAAACTATTGGTTATCAGATCAAGAATGGAAAGACATGCGATCGACTGTCAGCCCTGCTTTCACCGGCTCCAAAATAAAGATGATGCTGCCACTAATAATGGAAGTTGGAAATCAGATGATCTTCTCTCTTAAGAAAAAAATAAAGGAGTCTGAACGTAAGTCGACCTTGGGCATAAATCACTAATTTCTACTTTGACATGCTAAGTTTACCGTTATTTTGAATACAAATGAAGTGAAGTAGTTGACAAAACGTTGGAAAGGTTGTAAATCGCAAATAGGGAGTAATTAAATAGTGACTTGGTCCACATAAATTTATCGCCTAGTCAGTGTAGATCCAACTAACTTTATCTCTGTCTTTATGTAGTGTTTGTTGGGTGTGATATGAGTGTTACTGTTGAGTGTCGTCTTGTATGTGTAATTAAAGCTAGCTGGCTATACATCAAATGGTAAGGGAAAGCTGTAACCTATCACAAACAACCCTACGTTCCTAACTAACAGCTAGCCATAACCATACACTATACACATAACAAACACTATATATACGTATATAGATAGGTAGATGAAGCCTATGACCATGGTACCTATGGTAACAGACGGAAGGTGGGAAGGATAAGGGGTGCAAGGAGTGGATTTTTTCACTGTCAGTCTTACATACTCACAAGACTGAGCAGATAAGCTGACGGATAAAGGTGTCTTGACCGCAGTGAGAGGATACTGTAGTCAGGAGAGTTGAGTCATCGTCAATGAGACAGCGTTGATGTCTGGATTCAAAGAGATCTTTATTTCTAAAAACTAGACTATTTATACAAATTCTATTTACATGTGTGCGTGTAAATTTGCTTTTTTACATAAAGACATCATGGATAATTTTAAACCCCAAAAGTATTATTGAAACCTTTTGTAAAGTTTGTAATTTTATAGATTCTTTTATTTACAGAGGATTCTTTGGAAATTGATGTGAAAGACTTAACGACTAGATGCACGAATGACGTAATTGCATCCTGTGCCTTTGGCCTTAAGGTCAATTCTTATATGGATAAGGACAACCAGTTTTATACAATGGGAAAAACTGTTTCAAACTTTACGCTTCGTCAACTACTCATGTTCTTCATGTTGAGCTCTTTTCCAAAACTGGCCGGAGTGAGTGTATTTAAAACCCGTTAACGTGTCCCAGCGATTTGTAATGAATTCAACACGTATCAAATTAAAATAAAGGAATACAAAGGATCTTATGGGCAAATGGAAATTTTAAAGATCTTAGGGGCACTGCCACATGCCCGTGTCCCTGTAATTTCACCAGCACCCTAAGTGCGTTTACGCACTGCATCCGATTCGTATTTGTTCCAAATTCGTGAATTTACAAATCTAGAAAACTCGGACTCACTTCGATTGTCGCTTGTGCACTAGAAAATACGAATATCGCTTGTACACCTAGAGATAAAATTATCCCTGTGACATTTCGGACCATCACTTCTCGAATTCGGAATTGGAATCGAACGTAATGCGCAAACGCTCTTATTAGATCGTAGTGGCTTAAAAGTCTACAGACGTTGGTAATCACTTCCATCAGAGGCTCCTTGTCTGACAATTTGCCGATATTTTGTTTCACATAAAAAAGTTCGAAAAAATTTTTTTTCTTGGGAGTGCCTGATTATTAAAATTATTTAATTATATTTTTAGATATTCAAATTGACTCTGTTCCCGGAGTCGGTACAGAACTTCTACAGGACGCTGGTGATGGAGACGATGCAGAACAGGGAACTACAAAAGATCGTTCGGCCTGACATGATACATCTGTTAATGGAAGCTAGGAAAGGTAAGATTCCTTCTTCAATGGTTCAATTCCCTTAAAGTAAACATAGAAAACCATTTTAATTAAATTTACCATGTAGTTTGATTCGTTAGTTCAAAAATATATTTTTTAATGAGGTTACATCTAGACGCAGTTAAGTATTGCACCTAGAATTAATGTTATTAGTCGGGTATGTAATCATAATAAAGTAATTTGGGACCAAGTCGAGTCTGGTGTAGGTGAGCGAGTACCGCGTCAAAGCCGTCGGTAACCGCCTCTGCAAATAAGCCGGACGCACTAAAGAATGTTAATCAATTTACTGTTAAATTTACAGGCAAACTGACCCACGACGAGGAATCAAGCCAAGACAAGGACGCTGGCTTCGCGGCCGTCGAAGAGTCATCCTTTGGCATGAGGCAAGTCAACAGAGGTGTGTCTAATCAAAATATATGTATATACAATCGTTAATACTGTAATGGTGTCGCTGATATTGACTTAAGACAATTTTGACAACCAATACAAGAAAACACCATCAAAGAGGCTAATTTGGAGCAGTTTATATCACAGCATCAAAAAAGGTCTAAAAGTCTAAATAGTCTATAATTATACATAAATGATAATTATGCAGGTCAAGTCAGAAGGTCGACGAAATTCTTCTATACTAGTAGTTATAGATATTTGTATTGAGTTCTTTCGGCTTTCAAAGGCGTAAGCGACACCTTGTCAGAGATTTATTAACCTTCTTACTCAGCCGCTACCTTTACAGCTACCACAAGCTGACGTTGATGTTGCTTTTACTAAATGTACCTGTTATTGATTTTTTTTATTGAATTTCATGATTTTTACCACTGTGATATTAATACATCTATTTTTTTTTAGAAATAGCTCCTACTTTGTTATAATTATTCACACAAAGATCGAACATAAAGAAAAATGTCTTCGGTCTGATAGGGCTCTCATTAATCAATCTAGGGCATTTACAGGTTCAGGTCCTGTCAGATTGAAGGAATTTGTCTTTGTGTTTAATCTTTGTATTATAATTATAACAAACTAGTGGAGTGATTTGACAAAAATAAAAATGGATATCATGGTAAAACATCATAATATTCATTATAATCAATATCATAAAATCGATGTTCATTACTTTTAAATGGTAGGTACGTGTCCAAAAGTATGTCATTGGATTGTATGACATCGATCAAAATTGTTTGGTTAAGATGTTATCATTGCAAATTTAGATTTTTCTACAATCTTTATTAAATTTAATTAATGCGAATTACTAAGTTTTAAAATTATAGATAGCATTTAAAACATAATTTATATTAGTATTTTGTACGTTGTATTGTATGTTTTGTATGGTGTTTCTTACAAACATGTTCACACTCACCACTTACATTTTGTTGAATTTCCTAATTTCCGTGGCAACTTTTATTTTTTAAGTATTCGTTTTTTTATTGTTTAATATTATTTAATAATTACACGAGAATACTCTTTAATATAATAAAAATTACCACGTAAATTCGACAGTGAACACTAAGTTCGAGAATGACCTACTTGTTTTTTAATGCTTGGATTGTAAGTCTACGCTCACAAGTTAATAGAAGATTTCATATTTTACATACATACGGTTAGTTTAGAGCCAAAAACGTAGCTATTACATTCTTTAAGCTCAAGGAGTCTACTAAAATTAGTTCACAGGTTGAGACGTCGAAATTTTGTAGTAGTAGAGCTCCATATGAAAGAGTTCATCCAGGGAAGTATCTTACCTATTCCTGCCGCCTAGTAGTAATATGAGCATTACTTCGTTCCGGTTTTAAGGGGTAAGGGTGCTGGTGAAATTACAGGCACATGAGATTTGGTAAGCCCGCCGGTGACCCTAAATTGTTTTTGATTTAAAGCTCTGAGTGGTACTGTGAAAAGGTTGTAAACCCTAATGACCCGTGACCAGGTTCACGGCAGTAAAATAAGAAAATTTCAGGTCCACAGAAATTTATTTCAAGTTGATGGTAAAGAGAAAAAAAAGACCTTAAGCGGTCGAGTTATACTGAATTACAGATTGGTATTAAAATTGGCACAGGATTGGTAGTAGCTCTTACAAATCTAGTAATGGAATTAAAATTAGACTCAATTGAAACTTAAAACAGCACTGAACGCTGCCGCGGTCGAGCAGGGAGTGACGATGAAACGAAACAAAATCAGAATGGCGAGGCAAAGGAATAAAAGAACGATTCGAAATTTAAAAACAGATAAGTGGCCAGGGACCGGAGAAAAGGCGATAAAATGGTTGGGATGACGATGTAAGGAGGTCACATCGTCACAACTACAACTGCTATGGACAAAAATGTCACTTATTCACACGTTCTGTCATAGTTAGTAATCATAAAAAATACGTAATTCAAACTTACTTTATTTTAAAACTTTTTGTTGTTCTCTCCAGTATGGTCCGATGACGACCTTATCGCCCAAGCCATCCTGTTCTTCGTAGCTGGCTTCGAGACCGTATCTTCTGCCATGTCATTCCTGTTGTACGAGCTGGCTATCAATCCTGACATGCAAGAGAAACTGTACCAGGAAATCAGAAAGAACGACGCCCAGAACAAAGGAAAATTTGACTATAATTCTGTACAGAATATGGTTTATATGGATATGGTGGTATCAGGTAAGAGCAACAAAAAGCAAATAAATAGCATTCTTTCGTATTATTAGCACAAACACCAATATAATGAAAAGTAAACCCTATTCTTGCTACGTAATCTTTTAGTTTTTGATAATGTCACATTTAAAATTTCTTCTGTGTTTAAATGGTATGATGGCATGGTGGCTAACTTGACTATAATGCCCCAAAAAAACCCTCGGGCCTTTTTTCTTCCCATTACGGCCATGGTCGGTAAGTAGTTTTTTTAATTTGTGGCATGACATTCTTCCTCACATAGGTCAGGTTCAAGTTTTCGTAAAGGAGATTACCTAAGTTCGAAATTAAAACATGTTTCGCTTACAATGTTATATAAACAGAAATTTAATTGCTATTCAGCCACATACTACATAAATACTCATTATTAAAAATTCCTTACAATGGATTTTATGTATTTTCTGTATAAAAATTCTCCCACCCTCTAAGGGTGGCAAATTAGTGGACGAATCCGGTTTATTCAATTTCACCCACTTTCCATTAACTGACTTCAATAAAACTTGGTACATACACACAATTCCAACGAAAATAAAATACAGCGAAAACGATAAAAATGCTCAGTTAAGAGTTTCTTTAAAAAGTTAATTAAAAAAGAACCATGCATTTCAAATATTGACGTAGACACTTTAAACGCTATATTTTACATTTCAGAAACGTTAAGGTTATGGCCACCAAGTTTTGCCCTGGACAGATACTGTACCAAAGACTACAACATGGGCAAACCTAATGACGAAGCTACTGATGAGTACATTGTAAGTGTCCAAACGCATTCTATCTAATCCTTCGCTTCTAACACTCTTTGCTTTCGAAAGATCCCCTCGAGAAGACTGGTGAGATAGTAACTTTTGTCTCCATAAAATAGTTTTTGTTGAGTTTAGAACAATGCTATTATTCCATGCGTTTCTGACAGACTTGGAGAAGATGTCTCTTACCCAATGATCTTACATTCGGATCAAAAATATGATATAACATTATCGACACTGGAAAGCAATCTTGTCGTATATAGAAACATGGAACTTGTCAAAAGTCCGTGTCAAAACGACGACATCACGAGTTCTAGACTAAAGAAATCCCGATTTCTTTTCTTCTTCCAAATAAATAGAGTTATTTACAAAATAATAACAAACTCCCAGAACTATATTTTTTTATTACTAACATCTTAGAATAATAACGCACAGAAACCCGCACACGCTAAGTGAGGCAAATTGAAGCGCTCCCAATGGGCCTACACGAGCGGGTGGGCCGTCAGTGCTCAAGGTCAACTTGCACCGCGAACAGCTCCAGAATTTTAGCTAAAAACGACGAAATGTGCGGTAAATGTGTGTAAAAATACGTCATACAAACATAAAATAGATACTAACATCACATTCCACAAGGAAGTAACGCGTTTCAACTTGTATTTTTATATAAATATTCAATAAAACCGAAAATTAACCTACTTCTAAAACTAGCCTACATGAATTTGATTTTTGCCTCACTTGTAACAGTTTGTTTGATATGAAACTATCATTCTATGCGTTATTATTCTAAGACTAACATCATAAACAACGACTTGGGTTCCATGACTTTTAATAATTCATCAAATTTTACTTTTGTTTATGTACAAAAATAAAAATATTTAATTAGATCGCTCTGAATGGTGATAACTACAAAGTTCTGGGTTTTGCGTCGTACGTACAGACGTACGACGCAAAACGCAGGGGCGATGGTGGAGGACATCGGGTCTTAGTAATGTAGTCCTGTGACGTTGTAAGTATCTTACAAATAATCCTATATAAAATAGTCGTTTTCTTAACATCTCAAGATACGACAAGATGACATTCCAGCGTCTATTATTAATGTTCCAAGCTTAAGCTAAAAATAACAAAAAATTGTATATTTTTATTTATTTATTTTTTTGTTGACCAAAATACAGGAAAAATATTTTTTTACTAATGACAAGCTTCGCTCACAAATACCTTCCGGCTTTACCCGCGGCGAAGGAGTTTAATTTATTTAAGTAAAGATGTATAATAGAGCAAAACTCTTAAAAAAAACTAACATAATCACTTCTAGACAGGTACAAAAACATGCTCACTTACATGTGCATATAAATGGCATATCATAAGCAATTTACAAAACAAAGTTTATATCTTTAGTTTTCAAAACATGTTTCTTAATGTATGATTCATAGTGTTTGTTGTTTTGATAATTACATATAAATTCCTCACTTATTTTGTTCGTTAATGCAGGTAACAAATATTTCCAATTTCCTTTTCCATAATAGTTATTTAATTAAGGTAGTATTAATTTCATGTGATGAATTATTTTTCTTAATGTAGTGTGACGAAAGTGCGGGGTAATCTTTGTGAAGTTATATTATGATATATATGAAACTGTTTACGAGGTAATGCAAAGTAAAAACATAAAATATGTACTTGCGTATGGAATAATACAACATCGCACACCTAAGCACCTGCTCTATAAAGCCTGGATTGTGTGTCACATTGAAATTTAAATGGTGGTGCTTCATTCACATGGCTATTTGTATTTGCGTATTTGATATACAGTGTGTTTATTTGCATTCTCGCCATATTTAAGAAATTAATAATAAAAATAATGCCAAATAATCTAGAAATATTAAAAAAATATTCTGTTCAATATTCTGACTAATTGTACCTAGTAAAGTTTTTCAAAATTGTCTCGAAGTCATATGCACCACGCAAAGGCAGTGACCCCGCCACCCGCTTCACCTTTTACTTATTTTTTTATAGAATGTACCTATGCGGGATGTCAGCGTGACGTAGACGTAGGTCGACTGATATACCAATCGCGCGCTCGATACGACACTAACCCGCCATCGCGACATATAGACCTAAAATGTGTTCTGCGTATTTAAGGTCATTGTTCAAAATGTTTGCAAGTGCCGATGCCGTGCAAGTCAATGACCTTTGGATCAAATTTGTTTACCGCAATTAAATAAAAAATAGAAAGGTACGAAATTTTTTTTCGATTTATTTTTTAGTGATTTGGGTTCAGTTTCGGATATAGAATAACCTCTGTAAATATGGCGAGAATGCAAATCAACACATTGTATTTAGCAAACAATCACCATGTTTAGATGGCATGTGTGACAAAGCATTTGCCTTGTTTATCTATTCGACAAATACAGGAAACACAAAACTTGCTTCACCGCGCGCTGATCGGTTTCTCGACACACATCAAAGGAGTCAAATACGCATGTAAACCGACCTATGGTCATATTCATTATTTTAACTCCTTCTTTGGCTCCATGTGTAGACGGTCATATTTGTCAGTGCTGCATGTTTGTCTGTAATATTTGACATATTTTTCCAAGTACGTACATCAAACACCCGATAACGTATGCAAATAGCCATGTCAAGTGCCGCCATAAGAATGACTTTGCGCAGAAGATAAAGTATAGTTCGTTCCAATTCATTTACAACTAATCACTCAATAAATAGAATAAGTAACACTTTCACTTATATTTCGAAGATTTCGACGATATCTTATCAATTTTTCCAACAATAAATATTTATTTGAGTTGCATCGTAAAATTTTGTATGAAAAATGGGAGTCCAAAAGTGAGGTTACTTTTCATCTATACATCTATGACTTCTCTATGGTTGCATAGTGCTATATGAAACAAAACATTCGGTTAATTCAATTAAAGTTTTTGTAATCGATTAGTAAATCGAATATTTCAATGGCAATCGAACGAGTATCTAAGTTTAAGGATTTGAAGGAGGACTTAAAATTAAGATTTCGAAAATTTTAAATATGCTCAATAGGTTACGTAGGGAAAACCGCTAATATGACTCAATTGAACAAATCGATTCATTCAATTAATTAATCGATTTGTAGTTGGCATTACAATTGGCCATCACTAAACCGTCCATGGTCGGGTCAATGGCTTGTTTGTTTACATTTTGTTGAAAATGGATTGAAACGAAGTATATTACATACACGACAAACGTTACAAGGCGCATCGCGTTGTTCACCGCACTGCCCGCTTGTACATGTCGGTACATGTTATAGAAAATAGGAAAGACTAAAACGCTTTGGAGTGTATCTTTTTTACCAAGGCCTGCTGAAATTTTCATTGTTATCTTATTTAATTAGATCCGCAAAGGCGATGGTCTTCAGATCCCGGTATTCGCGATCCACCGCGACCCTAAGTACTTCCAGAACCCGGACAAGTTCGACCCTGAGAGGTTCTCTGAAGAGAACAAACATAAGATCCAGCCCTTCACCTACATGCCGTTTGGACTTGGACCCAGAAATTGTATCGGTGAGAATTTTTTAGTGTATCCTATCTCTCTATGTTGTCTTCTTGCCGCGGGCGGTACGCGTGCGGTACGCGTGCGGTTCGCAATGATCCGTCTGATTGAAGACTGTTTCAAGCGTACACACTAGAACCTCGTTACTGTATCTGTCACGTTACAGTTACAGCTCGCTAATGAGTATACCCGGCTTTAAGTAACTAGAAATCATAATGTTTCATCACGATTGTATCCTTGGTTAAGTCGTGCTTGTTTGTAAAGGTAGATATGCTGCTAAAAGTCGTATGTAACAGCTCTAAGGCGCAACAATATTCCACAGGTACTAATAACACAAGCAACACTGTAGATAACCAGCAGAGTTTTATATCGTGCATGGTTTAAATGTTTCTCCTTCAATTATCACCAATGTTTCAAACATTTGACATGCACTTTTCTCGTAATGGTTTCACGTTTCACAGAACTATACAGATCGTTTGAGAATTAGGGACACGTCTTCAAAGAGTTTTTATAAGCCTACATCATTTTTTTTTATCGCGCGAGTACAAATAAGTCTAAATTTGGATTGAATTGATATTCAATTTTTTTTTTTGTGAAATTACTCCAGTAGTTTGTTATAATTATTAATACAATTAATAGCGACATCTCTAGCCGCGGCTGGTAGCTGTAAAATTACTTACCTGGGTGTCGCAATACTTTCATAGATTTCTCATAGATGGCGTTACAGCTAAAAAGTCGTTGAAAACCAAATACAAAGATACGACAATTAACACAGAAAAATACATGAGGCCCGCTGGTTTTCTGTGGCTTAGTTGGTATAGCGTCTGGCACGGTTTGCTAGGAAACCTCGATTCGAATCCGGCCGGACCGAAGGAATTTTTTCTAAGTGTTCGACCTTTGTATTAATAATTGTAACAAATTGTAATTAATGTTACTTCCTATATGCCTTCGGTTATAAAATAACTAATGCTTATTTTTCAGGTTCAAGATTCGCCCTCTGCGAACTGAAAGTAATGACATATCTGCTCCTAAACTCCTTCGAAGTGTCGCCATCTAAGAAAACCCCTATACCTGCCAAAATGGAGCCTTCCTCGTTTAACATTTGCATAAAGGGGGGTCATTGGGCCCAATTTCGGACTCGGAAGGAGGTGTAAATGAAAATTAATATAAATTAGAAATCCATCCTAATGAAACAAACACTATGGTTTCGTTTTTTTAATTAATTCATGACAGTCATTGTATTCCATACCAAATTTGAGTACGTATTAAAATCTGTGTTTGCATGCAGTATCTACTGTATGCAAACACAGATACCTTAAAGTTTTAAGTCGGTTAAGTGGTCAGGTACCTTAAGGTATCTGACCACTTAACCGACTATTATATTATTTAGTTCTCAGTAGATCAGTGTGAAGTAAGGTGTTATACAATCTTAACCTTAAACCAATGAGCCGTAAAATTCATTTTGATATGACTTCTTTATTGCATCATTAGTGAATGACGTTTTAAGAAACTTTAAAGCCAATTTGATTTTTATTTTATTTTACTTGGGATAACAACAGCCATACTTAACACAATTTTAACCTTAACATACGGTTACCACACAAGATCTTTGATTATATTACATACATACAAATTTCGACCTAAAAGCTGGAACGTGTAGAAGGCTTTCAGAACCGTACCATAGGTACCGTGGACGTCAACTCGACGTCAGTAATCTGTGAATTGTGGTAAAGTTTTAATACACATCTCTATTACTTACTATATTTCAAAAACAATTTTTTTAAACTAATGGTCACGTACTCATTAATTTCCATTAAGTGTACCATGTTCATTTAATAAATTGTTTTGTTGTTCTTGAATTGTACTTAAGTGTTTTAATTAATAAATTTTACCTTTCGTCACAAAGATTTCTCAACGAGTTTCATTTGTTTTTCAACCGACTTTGAAGCGTATGCGCGCGCTGTACGGACACATTCGCATAATAATGAAAGACGTGTTGGGACGACCAGTGTTGAACTCTAGTACGTCGCTAGATTATGCAAATATGTGCGTCCGTAAACGGTGCGCGGCGGGCGTGTACACATACAAGCCGCGCTGCTAAGTTTGTGTGAAGTTACGATACCTACTTATCTTATGTGTTCGCGCGCTCAATAGTTCAATACAATGAACGTAACGAATATATCTAAAGTGCCGGTTTTTTAATAAAAAAATTATAATTATTTTGAAAACGAATTCCAAAAGGTAACTTTCTAAAGCGTTTACCTACTTAATGAATAATTATTATTCCTTCCAACTGTTCCTTTTATTATATTTGAATAGAAAAGTCATAAATCGATATTAATCAGTACAGGGCTAATCTAACTCTATGCCACACCCCGGACACTCCATACAACAGTCGATAGTTATTTACCTACTACTATTACATACAGCAAAGCGCTATCCGCACACCCGCAAGTGTGGTCGTGAAGTGACAGGGTTACCCATCACTGTCTCGTACTATTACGTTACGTGATCAGAGAGGCAATTTATCGAACATTCTAGCGCGAATCTGTTACCTATAATTCTATTAATAGAATCCTACTAATTACACATGTTCATTAGGTACCTATATCGATATAATATCATATTTTTCATTAATTCACTAACTAGAATAATATTGAAGATTTATTTAAAAAATATATTAACAAGCACTTAAAATGTTATATTTTTGGACAGGTACTTTTAAATAATTTAACCAAGGTATTTGAAATTGCTTGTCCAAGTTTATTATTACCTAGTTAATAATTATTTACTGCATAATATTTATGGACAATACAGATTGAAAATTCGAGAACCCTTGTTTACTACCTCAGGAAGTTATGGCGTCTTATTATACTGATATAATAAATCTGTATTATATATTGAAGAAAACAATAACGGAATGAGTCTCAGACATAAGTTTTCTTTTACTTACTTCGTTTCATCTTTCGGTAATCGAAAGAAACTCCTCTCTTTGTCCCTTTTAGATCATGATAAACAGCCGTACACTGCACAATTCACAAACATTGTAAATAGTAACGTAAAATTATGTTATATATTAACATACAAGTGTCGTAATGAATAAATGAAAACTTCATTCAAATATCAAAGCCGTCTTTGCGCGAAAACGGCTCGCCGACAGCCTTGTTGTCGTTCAGTCAATGTGACCGTCAATGTGCGGGGCGTGTTGCGGTATCTAAAACTAGGGAGGGGCGGTGAATGTCCATTCTCTTTACTTTTTATTCTCTGTCTATGTCGCTTACGATAAGAACAGTCTAAAGTACAAAGTGTCAAGCTTGATGTGCTCTTGACTGCCCTTGTAATTTATAATTATTATTTTTAACATAAGTAAACAGCAATGCAATTTAGTAGCAGTAGAGCTCCTTGTGAAAGAGTTCGTCGAGGGAAGTACTGCCACTTTATCTATTTCTGCAGCCAAGCAGCAATGTGAGCATTACTGCGCTTCGGTTTTGAAGGAGTGACAGGCGCAGTGGCAGTGCCACTCAGATCTTTGCGATTTAAAACTCTAAGTGGCACTGTAACCAGACGCACGAGTTAAACGTCCCGTTACTTGGTATATTTAAAAAAAAAACTACATTATTGGGACGTTCCTGTAAAAACATTACAGTTGTCAATTCACGGCGCCGGTTATAAAAGCGAAAATACCGCGTCTCAGGTCCATTTACTCATTCTTGTGGGTGTCATTGCGTTCGTTCAAATTTAGTAATATTCTGGCGCTCGCACCGACTAGATTTTCTCGAGACGTCAGTGCTACGACAGCTCAGGATATTGTAACCAAATAAGTTTGTTTCGTAACACTTTGAAGTATTTGAATTAAGTGTATTCAAACCAGGAAGGTAAATGTTTTTGTTTCTGTTTATTGTATTTTAATCAAGTTAGTATTTTGGATAACATTGCATACTGTCGTGAAGTTGGTTTAATAAACAAAGGTTGTAACATGGACTTTTAAAAATAGCTCCGACTTACAATCAGGAAAATTTTGTAGATTCAAATGTAATGCGAAAGTATATTTACGATTACGCACCAAATATGTTGTTTTTATTTTCAATTTACAATTTAAATTACAATTGACTACCTCCGTGATCGAGTGGCTTGCACACCGGTTTTCACGACGTCGCCACCTCTGAGGTCCCGGGTTCGATCCCCCGCCGTGTCAACGTAGGGAATAACTACACTTTCTATATTGTCTCGGGTCTGGGTGTTTGTGGTACCGTCGTTATTTTCATGGCACAAGTGGTTTAGTTACTTACTTTGGGATCAGAGCAACGTATTTGATGTTGTCTAATATTTATTACAATTTATTTAAGAAATCCGCGTTAGAGTGTTAATGTTTTCTGTTTTTTACCTAATTAAGCGTAGATACTACAAATTTTTCCCATACTAATACGGTTTATTTTGCTTGGGTCGGGCGGCAGGGACGCTGGTTTTATTTCAGCATTTATTTTTTTATATTATAGTTATATCGTATACTATACGTGTTCTAGTTACTTCAATTGATATAAAAAAGCATTGGTACGTGTGAAGTATCCATTGAATACAGCGGTTTTCTTGTAAAATTACGAGGTAAGTTTGAAATTTTTTTCCATAGTGAAAATGTTTAGGAATCGTGTTTTCACACTGTATAGTAATCAGTGTATATTCTCAATTGTACTATATATTTCTTTCCAAAGTGATTGGTTCAACACTTTCATTATTATGCGGAACCAATCAAAGCCATTTGAGGTTGTATGGACTCGTAAGGTAAAATAGAAATCGTTTTTTTTTTCACGTTAGGTAATTTTAAAGTAATATTAACTAGTTCTTACTTTTTCTCGATTGTTATACACAGTGAAAAATGAAAATATTTTACGGATCTATAAATCGCGTATATTTGTATTTTCAAACAAATGACGTTTCGGGTCCTTTAGAGGTACCACGTACAGTCAGCCGTGACCATGGGACCAGTACAGAATTGAATTTGAAATTCCTAATCTAGAGTATTTTTCCAGATGCTGGTCTGGATATGGCTGGGTTGCCTCCTGGCGGCAGTGCTTTTGTATTTTCGGCAAGTTTACAGCTTCTTCAAAAGGCGGGGTGTAAAGACACCCAGAATCATTCCACCTTTTGGCACGGTGATTAGTATTGTTTTACAGCGAGAGCATATAGCTGAACAAAGTACAAGAGTTTATAAAGAATTTCCAGATCAGAGGTTAGTACAAAAGTAATATTTGTAAGTGATAAGTGACACGCCTGTCCATAACAGTTGCAGTACCATGCAGAGCTTTAAATCATAAAGATTTCATTGTTTCCCAGGTCCCAGGTTCCATTCCCGGGCCGGGAGAAATATTTGTATGACCTACACTTATTTCTCTCGTGAGTTTGGGTGTAATTTGTGGTTGTCTATGTGTGTGTCCATGGCACCCGCGACACAGGGTTTCCCTAGTGCGGGGCTATGTTGAGTGTGTGCGTTATTATTATTATTATTTGATTGAAAATCAACGAGTTTCAATTAACGTGTCCAAGCCTCTGCCGCTGGGGGCCCCTGCCGTTTTACCTATCTAGTCCCATATGACCAATTTAGTCCGCAACACTATTCTGAATATGCTTGCCGATAAGGCGGAAACGCGGTTCAAGCGCTAATGAGGCTGTCGTAGTGCTCTTTTTGTTCCCAAACTTATTAACATAGTAGGTTATTAATTAATTTTCTTTACTAACACCAATATAAATATATTTTATTGTGGTACTTTCGTGGTAAATTTTACATGTTCAATCGTCTTGGGTGCATTAATTCCATTTTATTTATTTATTTATTTATTTATTTTTCAGGGATAACAAACAATTGTACATGAAATGTTTACAATCAGAGTTAAATATTTCTAACATAGGTACACATAGAATCAACAACATTATCCACAAGTTACTATTAGAATTAAAATTAAAATTGTCGTGTGTGATGGGTAGTGCTAAATAAACTAAAATAAATAAAAGGTAAATAAGAAATTAGCTCAGGGCATCAATAATAGCTTTTTTAAATTTAGAAGCAGGCAAATGGAATATGTCAATATTGCTAAACAAATCATTGTAATGAGAAAGAATACGACGTAGAGGAACTCGCTTGCCAGCATTTGTTCTGCAGGTCGCCGTTTTAAACAACGAGTAGGAGCGCACTCGCCGTCGATAAACTCTCATTGGTACATTATATCTAATATGTTGCACAAGAAGATTTTATTCTGTAGTATA